CGGTGTGGTGACCCAGTCATCATCCATCATATAAATGGAGTCTCCTTAGGGAAAAGGCAAGAGAAGCCCTTTCATCGACGTTTTGGTATCTATAGAAAGCAATCGTTATGTAAGCTGCCACAACTAATTATGGCTTGAATGGTGTCTCCCCACAAACTCCTACACCCTGGTATCTGTGCATGTGTAGAAATAAGATCTCTGTAGACAGATGCAGATTAAGTGGAGATCATTAGGGTGGACCTAACCCCTTAGGGTGCACCTAACCCATATAACTGGGGTCCTTATAAGAAGATGGTGTGAAGACATAGGAGACAGAGACTGGAGTGATGTCACTGAGCCAAAGAATGCCAAGGATGCCCAGCCCTGCCCACAGGAAAGGGTAAAGAGGCAAGGGAGGGGCTGTACAGGGGCAAATACATTTCTGTTACTTTAAGATGCCTTCTTCATAGTCTTTTGTTACAATAGCCCTAGGAAAACAGCATGTACTTTTTATCCCTTTTTCAGTTTTCACATTCATTTTCCTCTTCTGCACAGGGAAAGCTCCTTGGGAGGTAGAGATTGAACATTGTTGAGGTTCACAGCCCTTGAGTGGCTCAGCGGTGCTTTTTCAAGGGCTCAGTGAATAGTGGCTGAATTGAAGTAATTGGAGGCTTCCAGAAAGATAATGCTGCACGTTATTTGTTATTGTAAGTTCCCTATAATTTTCCTGTCAGCTTTTGACATTGTCATTGAGGAAATAGAAGAGATTGCCAAGAGATGTTTGGAAGGAATGAGGAAATAAATAACTTTTGGGAAAACACAAGGGCTTATTTTAGAAAGTAGCTGATGTTCATGGACATCTTGCTCTGGGTCAGGCTGGGTGGATATGGGAAGCATTTATTTTACTTATGCCTATAACACCTACATCCTGCTGTTAAACCCAGCTTACTGATGAAAGAAACTGAGGTTTAGAAGCTGCAAAAAGCAGAGTGAAGGGATACACTTGGGCACTGTGACCATAAATTTAGCTGGTAAACGCAAGCCTAACTGTGAAACGCAGCTTCAGAGGGGGCCTTTCGGCAGAACCAAAGACCTCCCAGCGATTATGGATGTCATGTGTTCAGTCATCTTCCATATACATGCATGTGTTGAATACTTGATCTGCAGTGTGTTTGTACATGTCTCATCAATTTGCTCAGACACAGTTAGGCTTTCCTACACCGCCTTGCTACACTGGAAAGCCACAGCATTGTTGGTTGACATAAACTGAGGCAAGGAAGAGTCAGCGAGCTTATTAAAAAATTAAGAGTGAGGACTCAAGCCCCAGAACAGCCTTCAGATAGCTCTGGAAAAGCTGCCCGAGTTCTGCACAGTAAGACTGTGCAGTTAGGACACTCTTCAGTTTACTTGAAACATTTCAGGGACGTGTACAGAGCCCAGGGGAATTCTGGCCAGGGTCGGGCTAATGTGTCTGGCTGACTTATCTATGCTTTGAGGGAAACAAAGAGGGTTACTCAAATCCACCCTATCTATAGGGAGTCTTATCTTCTGGGAGCTGGGAGTTCTTGCAACTTCACCAATCTTGGAGCTGACAGGCTTTGAAGTTACTGACTTACTGGGAGCCAGCATTTTCTGTTCCTCTGCTTCTTTCTACACAGCTTTGTTTCCGAGTGCAGCTCTGCATGGAGCCAGACCAGCTGCAGTCTGGTCTTGGGCCCTTTGGTTGGGCCCAGGGAGAGGGGTCCCTACTTAGTTGTCAGCTTTGGTTAAGAGGTTTCATATGTAAGCGAGCAGCTTTCCACCTGCACTGCAGTGTTCTCTTGTTGTGAAAACACCCAAGGCCGGAAGGTGCTAGTCAGTTCAGCCTTCGGGAGATTTTACAGGCCTATCAATGCTGAATCCGGGACAGACCAGCACCCTCTGAGCATTGATTCTGCGCTTTTAGCCCCCGCTCTTGGCACAGGTGTGCATACTTCCACCTGCTCACGCCCTTTGCTTTCTGGGCCCAGGTGTCCACAATCACAGAAGTGCAGGACCGCCAGAGGCTAGGCTGGAGGGCATAAAAAGCCCAATTTCCTCATTTACCTCACAGGCTGCAACTCAGGAGAGAGCCCCCACCGCCCACCCACCCACCTTTGCTGTTTTGATTACATTTGCTGGGTGACCTTTTGTTTGAAGGAAGAGTTCTCTAGAAAACAAAAGTTGAACCACTCTAATTTTTATCGCTTTACTTGACACTTGACAACCCATAAATACATTTTCTCTGTTTATATAGGCCCATTGGGAAATACCCAATTTAAAGTTACAACTGAAGTACACCACCACCTAAGTTCCAGAATCTCTGGACACTGCTGGATTTGGGGGAGGTACATGTGATCTCTGTCCAGAAATTATTTCCCTCTGGCTAGATGGGACATGTTACTTCAACTTAGGGGATGTTACAGAGTGACTTAAAAACCTTTTTTAGTGGGAAAATTCAATGGCTTTCATTATTTTGTATTTCAAGTGATTCACATAGAAGCTTGATAAAAAAAAAATAACTGGAAAATGCCAGAGAGAGGACACAAAGTTACCTTTCAACTTGTCTCTAATTCCACTAAAGAATTAGGTTCTATTAATATTTTAAAGGTGGGCTATTAGGTTGCATCCCAGAGCTTGAAGATATTTCATAAATCCTATTCTTGGAATAAGGGAGAAGTCCTGTTTAAGAAATCTAGTAAAGGATTCTGATTATAGCTTAACTCTAATTCTGGATGAGTGCTCCACTCTGAATTCTTTTTGAAATTTTGATCTGAAATTAAATCAATGTCACAAATGAAGCTCATGCTAATATAACCAGGAGTAAGGACCAGCGAGCTCTCGAAGTGTTCAAATTCTCTATGGGGTCTTGAAGGAGTTACTTCCATTTTATGAGCCAATTTCCATGTACCTTATGGGTATAATAGTTCCTTCATCACGCTAAGGATTCTGGAAAGTAGTCTGAAGATGAAGTTACTTTCTGGTAATGCCCCAGTTCATAAAATAGCTGCGTGTACATGAAGACAGCACATTTAGAGGGGGTGTCTGTATTTAAATTCAGATCTAGCAGCACATTTGACATTTATATTATGGGGCTGATAGGGAAGGGCAGTTGCTTATTGAACAGCGATAAGGTGAGGCCACGAGACCCTCAGACATGAAACTGCAATCACCTGGACAAGGTGTTCACTATGGATCTAATCATCAGCTTCTCATTGCAGATTCTCTATGTCCCTGGATGAAGAATCTGTAGTTAGAATCTCTGTAGTAGTTAGAATTTACTTACCAATTATGATTCTCTTCAGTGACGCAGGTTGGGCTTGTTAGAAACCTCTCTGGACTATTCAGCGTGGAGCTTGGCATGAGAGTAAATTCCTGGCAAACAGTCTTAGTTTCACCTCATCCCCACGCCAGCCCCCCACCTCTCCCACCAAGAGCCTGAAGAGAAGCCATTTCTTTCATTTTGCACAAATCATACTTGCTCATAGTGACTTAGTCATTTCTACAGAGATAATCAGTCCAACAATGAAAGACTAATATTGCGGGGGCCCTGGGATGTTTCGGAGGAAGGAGAAATCATCTTTTTTCACAATATCACAAATATCAGAACATTGAGTATTTCGGTTTGCTTGGCTATCCCTAAAAGCCTAAAATTGTTGCAAAAGAGCATTGGTTAATAATGAGAAGCTATTTCTGAGTTTGAGACATTATTTTTAGTTTTGGAAGCCTAGAATTGAGATAACACTTTCCTATTGGAGATATTTAGAGAATATTCGATATCATTATACCTGAAACTTTTCTGTGGGAGAGAGAAACTAGTTTTATCCTCTTGGGTTTCAATTTCACTTTGATTTTGATGTAGTACTATGAAGTCAGTGTACTGACAAAAATTAACTCCATTAAACCCAATGTGAAAACTGTTAAGTTCAACATGTTTTAGATTTTTCACTTCATTTTCTCTTTCAAACTGGCATCTTAAACTTGCCAACAGATACTGTTTTCATGTAAGGGTGGAAAGAGGAGATAGCAGGTTTCCTCTCAATAATGACAATGGAAAAATTGCTCACCAGATGTTACAGCCAGTTTTTCCAACATACAGGCATAAGAAGTATTTTTACCCTTGGAAATCCTCACGGTAGAGTTGAAAAAACACAGGCACCTTCATGTGTATGCAACTGACCAAACACAGAGGTATGTTTTCCAACCCCCCACCCCCATCCCATAAAGGCTATTCTAAGCACCTGGTGCCCGAAGCTTTAATGCCTACTGAAAGCATCTTCTCTCCTGCTTGGTTGGCCCAAAAAGGTGGTTTCGGTCCACCGCTGCCCAGCAAGCGCGTCCCCAGCCCCAAAGCCAGGGTTGCCCTGGAGTCCCAGAAGGTACATACCACTTCTCCGGGGACTCTTTTTTTTGAACACCTGCCCTCAGGTATGTAGCTCAGCTTTGTTTTCTCTTGATCCCCCAGCTGGGACGCTGCAGAGAACTGCCTGCCTCCCTGGCTGCACGGGGCTCGGGTGCAGAGTTGCCAATCAGGCTCTTTGTTGTCTGATGGGAAACTGCTGCCCTGTTTCCCATCTGGTTATGATGCCTGCCTCCTCCTCACGCAGAATCTTGAACTGGAGGCTGAGTGGTGGTGGCGGTGGTAATTTATTTCTATTTGAAATTTCAAAGACTACTACAAATGCTTATAAAATGATCTTTTGAATG